TGTGTGTGTGTGTGTGTGTGTGTGTGTGTGTGTGTAAACAGATGGCTGAGAGATCCCATCATTTCCCTTGGAATTTTTTCCCACTTTTTTGACCTGCGGATTCCCGGATTCTTGGAATAAGCGAGAGGATTGGTATATTGGGGGGAAATTTGATCTTTGTTCCCCAAGTTGGATCTTGAAACGTTGCCGAAGTGGAGGAAAACACAAGAAGGGCCATTTGTAAAAGTACTCTCGTTTTTTATTTAGACAGGATCTAAAGGGTCTTCTTTTGCAACACAAACATCGCAAAGTCGCACAGTTCACACGCTTTTGTTCTCCCCCCAACCCACCCCGGGCAACACCGTCCAAAATCCCCCATAAAAGGCCCAGGACAACACCGTCCAATCCCTGTATTGCAGGGTCCAAGCGAAGACCACAACTCCCAGAATTCTTAGCTCCTCGCTAGGCATCCTGGGACTTTAACTAGGCATCCTGGGAGTTGCCCTCTTCAAATATGGCCGGAGTGGCTTCGGATATTTTCTTCCCCCCCCCCCCACACACACAAACAACTCTCACACCCAAACGGGGAAAATGTAATGCGTGTTGTTGACATGCCGTATTTGGAGGGGGCTCCGGGACCTCACCAATCATTTTGGGCCTGGCTTCACCAATACGGCAGCCATTTTGAGAAAGGGCAAAGTCCTTCCCCTGGCAACTTCCAATATGGCCTCCAGGTTGCTCCGACAAGGAAGAATCCCCATTTTTCTTTTGCAAACTCTTTCCGTTTGCAAATTGGGGGCCTAAAACTGGGGCAAGCAGGCTCCCTAAATTTTCTAAACCTGCCTTTTTCGCTCTTCGGCCCAGTTTTGGCTCCGGGGAAGAGACGGCAAGCGCCGTTTTTATTTATTTCTCTCCTTCTGTGCAAGTGCATTTCTCAACACGCCAAAGAGGACCAGCCTTATTTGCATCGTAGACGTCACTAGACTGAGGAATCGGGCCGCAGGGAACCCTGGGGTGAGGGGAGGGGGGTTTGTGTAGTTCCCCGGGTGGAAGATGGACCACCGGGCAGCACCCTAGCGAAACTACAACTCCCAGGAGCCTTTGAGAGGAGCAGCCTGCCCGCTTGCCATCTTCCCCAAGCTATTTCTGCGCCTAGATGGGCGAGTCTCTTCCGCGCCACCTGGTGGTGGGGAAAAGGGACTACCTGGGAGGGAAACCAGGCTCAGCGTCCCCCTCTGGTGGATTAAAGAGGAGAAGCAGTTTCTCGGCAAGTTTATTTCCCGCACACCGCTCCCAAAAGTTTGACGGAAATGGAAGGAAGTCCGGAGCGGGCTCATAGAAAAAACTGCACCATGGAGGGCGCCTGAGCTACGGGGGGCTTGGCCCCCTCCCCACAGTGCCCCCCGGCCGCCTCGCTCAGCAGCTTCTGACAGCGGGCTTTGTAGATGTCACGTTCGTGGACCAAGCGGGCCACTTCCACCCGCAGGGACTCGAGCTGCTGGGCCAGTTGAGATTTCTCGGCTTCCAGGATATGCCGTTGCTGGACCCGTTTGAAGCGACAGGACTGGGCGTAGCCGCGGTTCTTGAGGGTGCGCCGTTTCTGCTTCAGCCGCTGCACCTCGTCCTTGCCGAAGCCGCGGAGTTGACGGTTGAGATCCCGGACCGACATGGAGACCAGCTGGGCGTCAGAGAAGCGATCGGAAAGCCGGGGCAGCTGGAAATGAGGAAGCTGTATCGGGCAAGCAGAGGGAAACAGAAACCGTATTTGGTGAGCAAAGGAGGGTAAACCGACGGCATTACCACACTAAACGTAAAGGTTCCCCTTGCACATCTGTGCTAGTCGTTCCCGACTCTAGGGGGCGGTGCTCATCTCTGTTTCAAAGCCGAAGAGCCAGCGCTGTCCGAAGACGTCTCCGTGGTCATGTGGCCGGCATGACTCAACGCCAAAGGCGCACGGAACGCTGCTCCCTTCCCGCCAAAGGTGGTCCCTTTTTTTCTACCTGCATTTTCTACGTCCTTTCGAACGGCTTGGTTGCCAGAAGCTGGGACAAGTCACGGGAGCTCCCTCCGTTATGCGGCGCTGGGGATTCGAACCGCCGAACTGCCGACCTTCCTGATCGACAAGCTCAGCGTCCTAGCCACTGAGCCACTACGTCCCTAGACCACACTAGAGGATGGGTAAATGGCCGATGGATAACCAAGGCTCAGAACTCTATGTACGACCACCAGGAATCCCAAGGCTTCTGTTACTAAATGAAACATTTTGGGGGAGAATTAAATCCCGTTTTATCACCTTCCTTGCCGCCGCTAAGTGAATCACTGCAGTTGTTAAGTTGGTGCACAGCTGTTCAGTGAATCGGGCTCCCCCCCCCCCCACAAACTCTGCTTGTTAAAAGGTCGCCAAAAGGGATCGCCCTGACCCCAGGACACCGCGACCATCATAAATACGAGCCAGTTGCCAAAATCTAAATTTTTGATTATGTGACCTGCAACGGTTGTAAGTATGAAAAATGGCCATAAGTTCCCTGTTTTTTTAGGGCCGTTATAACTTCGAACGAATGGTTGTTAAGTTGAGAACTACTTTTACGTGAGATTTCTTTGAATTCAGGCCTGTAACCAAGCTGGGCCTCCTAATACCTTCAAGACCATCCGGATGTGCTTGGATTACAACCCCCCCACCAAACCCCCAGCCACTGGCTGCAGATGGGACTTGTAGTCCTCCATGTCTAGGTGATACCTGCTCGGGGCACTGAGCATTGTTCTCTCCAGTGGCACCGCGAACCAAATTATTCATATATATGTATTATCAGAATAGAGCTGGAAGGGGCCTTGGAGGTCTTCTAGTCCAACCCCCTGCTCTTCTTAAAGTCCTCCAGTGGCCGGTGGCAAGCTGTTCCGCTGACTAATGGTCTTCACTGTTAGGAAGTTTCTCCTTAATTCCAAGTGGCTTCTCTCCTTGATTAGTTTCCCTCCATTGTTTCTTCTTCTGCCCGATTATTTGGAGAATAATTTGACCCCTCCTCTTCTTTCGGGCAGCCCCTCAAACACTGGAACACTGCTATTATATCATCCCTAATTCTCCTTTTCTTTAGACTGGCCAGGCCCCAAATCCTGCAGCCATTCTTCTTATATTTTTGTCTTCAATTGTCTTGCTCTTCTCTGCACTTTTTCCAAAGTCTCAACATC